CTAAAATAATATTAAAGTGATTATTATATATTACTCCTTTTAATTATTGATTAAAAGAGTATTAATCAAGATTAAATGAAGAAAAATTAATTATATGAACTTTTTTTTCAAATCTTTAACATTAAAATTATGTCACAATCCATTACAAAAGGATATTATAAATGAAGTAATCTTAGCACTTTTTGTTGTGCAACATTACTATGATAATAATTGGTTTCAGCATTTTAACTAAGCAATACTATTATGTATTATTCAATGGTTAGTGTATCAAGGTTGTATTTGGTAACAAGAAATGCTATTATGCTTTTAAATTAATTGGATTTAATTCAGTCTTTTACCCATTCTGAAATTAATGTAATATTTGTTTCAACCAATATTAAATGCCTTTTGGAACAATTATACTAAACATCATTGTAATAAATTTTAAATTAGTTATTAAGTTAAATAGAGAATAATGATAAAATCAAGTTGATGGTAAATCAAAATAATTAATTTTTAAATATCAAAATCTTGTAGCAAATGAGCGGTTTAAAAGGATAAAAAGTTTTGGTTTTGCTTGTTAATTGAATAGAGTTTTTGAGAATAAAAAATAAGAATTTTATTCAAGAGCAGGAAAGAAAGTTGAGGAGAAGTAGCCAACTTAAGAAGTGAGAAGTATACCATTTATGTTATTGCAATATCTCTCAAATTGTCGTCCAATTAATTCCGCTACATATAGAATAGCATTTATTTTTAGACTAAAAGTAGGATGATTATTGTTTTTTTAAATAAGAGTCATGAATTAATAATTTGTTGATTCTCACAAAAATTTTGAATTGTGTTGACTTCTAATACTTTTTCTAATTTACAACCTAGTTTTGTTATTCCAAAATGCATTTAAACAATTATAAAGAAACTTTGTAATTTTTGTTATCCTTCATCCTGATAAAAAGGATAAAGTTATCATAATGAATCTAATTTAAGAATCATAAACTCTTTTAGTAACAAATTGTTTATCTAGTTAATAAGTTAGTTTTAACCAACTGTATTGAATGACTTATAAATATTAATTGTCGGAATTATCCCCTTAATGGAATAGCCGGGAAAATGTTATTAAGAGATGCTAATCTCATTAAGAAAAGAAATCCATTTCAAAGTTAAATCTTATTAATAGTCTTCATTAAAGCATTTAACTAAAATGTTTATTTCAACCAGGTCATAAGATAAAGCCTTTCTATTACTCCTCAACTTCTACCAATCTTCTTATTTAAAATTAATAATTATTTGGAAAACTTGAACATCTAAAAATTACTTATTATTGTTGAATTAAGAGTAAATCTTATTAAATACATAAAGAGAAGACTTTCTTTTTGAATAAAGACAATTTTACCATCACTAAACTATTTAAGGTGTAAATTTTTCAAATGTCGATAAAATCATAAAAATATTATTTTCACCTACTCAAAATAAGAATAGCTCACTGAGGATTATTACATATCTTCATATTGTAAAACATTTTAATTTTATTTTACATTTCATTGCGATATTATCAAGGCTCTTGGTGTTAATAATAGGACTTAAGATATGTACCAAATAGTAGTTTGTTTCAAAGCAATTATAAAAATCACTCAAGGATTCCTTCAATCCATGTTTCGATTTTATTCTGTCTAACAATAATTAAGTCAAACTATCTTTCCTTAGTTCCATCTAACTTTTTCTTGTAATATTCATAATTATTAATTCATAGTAGAATATAGGATTTCTTATCATTTAATAGTCAATATCCCCTCGTTGAATGGAGGCAGTGAATTGCAATTTTTAGATAGTGGTTTTCCATTCTTTCTAACATTTCTAGAAAATTTATTTATAATTTTTATAAAAAATTATAAAGTAAATTAACAATTTCAATAATAAATCATATATATCTTTGATGTATTTAAATAATGTGAAGAAATTTGAATATCTAGCTAGAAACTTAGATCCACTCTTCGATAAATATTTTGATTTAGATTTAAATCTAAATTAGCAACTAAGCCAAAGTTTATCAGTAATGAATGTGTCATTTTCTAAATTTCTTCATTTAAATCCACGAAAAAATGTAGAACATAAAGGCTTTGTTATTACTAAAAAACAGCCTTTTCTTGTTGTGGTAGTTAGAGTATTTGATATTGTAATTTGTTTTACTAGTTGCTAATAACATCTTATCCAATAAAGGATTCATAAGCAACTTTATTTTGTTAAGATGTAGCTAATGCAGGTCTGGAAGGATTAATTTGCATTCTAATGCTTAAATAATGGGGAGTAAAGTAAAAAATCTATGTGGAGAAATCTGAAATTCATAATAATCAGTATATCTTTGCTGATTATACTATTAGATTAAATTAAAAAATAATATTAAATCATATTTTAAATTATTAAAACTAAGTGGAATATTGTAGATATTAAATAATTATATTAGTGTTGATATGAGAATAAATATAAATTTTCTTTTTAATTTTTCTGATTAAAATGATGTTTTTCACGTCCCCATCCTATCATTTCATAATGATCTAAACTGATCAAGGTCTAAAAGCTTAATTTAATAAACCTAAAAATAAGTGAAACAATAGGAACCCATATAAATAATCAAAATAATAGAATAAACTAATATAGCTTTAATTATTGACTAATTTTATTGAGCGTATTAATTAAGAAATAAAATTAATATAAAATTTAGAAATATTTAAAAGCTTAAAGAATTTTTAAGATATTGAAATCTTAAAAAGATCATAAATACTTTATGTAAATTGGTTTTGTATCAAAAACGAAAGTTTGGATTAAATATTGGACTATTATAAGATTAAGTCTAAAAGCAAGACAATTATGTATCAATGTACTAGAGTAACTAATTTACAATAGTACTAAGAATCATCTCATGTATTTAAAGCTATGAAAAAAAATAATAATAATGGGGAATTGATATTGCAAATTTTTTGTCTTAGAACAAAATAAGAGTTTTAAGTTTCATCCAAATTTTATTTTCCATTAAGAAATCAACATATCATCATAGGATTTAATGATTCTTAAAAATCAATAATTGAAATAGCAGAAAATTCATTTGGCAAAAAGTGTATAATTCAAATTCTAAAACTCAAGATTATTTACATCTTTAAAGTGAAGAATGAATGTATTGTTTGAGTGAGTTATTACATAATTATTTTGATAGATCTATAAATTTCAATAATAGATTATTGAATTTGATTCATATAATCCAAACCTTTAAAATAAGGATTGTTTTTCAATAATATATCTATTTATTTATTGATTTATACATAAAAATTTATTTTTCCTTCTCATTTATTTTATAGATAAAGCTATTCGAAACTATAGTGCTCAAGTTCAACAGTCTTAATTGTTGAATGAACTTTTCTTATAATTTTCCCTGATTTATTTGCTCATTATAATTGTTTTCGAAAATAACGGCCATATTTGATAGATATTAATAGATATCAAAATACAATGATGTGTGACTATAACTCTTTAAATAATCTCTGTATTTACAATTGCTTATTTAATTTATTTTAGAAATTGCAATTATACATTCATTGAATGAGAAATAAAAGATGCAATAATAATAAATAAACAAAGGATAACTAGGTGGTTATAAATATTACTGAAATCTGTGCTAAAAACTATATATAAAGTAAATGTCTTATCTTGGAGTCTAATGAAATAAGCCCATTTAATATGTACTAATTGTCCTTCTGTAGAATCTTATGACGTTTCACATCACAATAATTAAATAGAAAAGCAATTGAATCTTATATTAATTAAAAATAAGTGAACAACTATAATATTAAAAATTTAAGCAAAATAGTACCTTTTAACCCTTTTATTTCTTTGAATTTTTTTCAATTTGGTTATTTAAGAATAAATATCTAAATCAAATCAAATTAAAAAGGGCTTCAGAAAATTTTCAATTATTGTAAATCATCAATACCATTGAAGTTATTCAAGTGATAAATTTTAATTCTTAGAAGTTTCTTTCTTTTTGAGCTTAAATCACTGCCAGTCATAAATAAGTGCAAGTCAATTACTGGTTGATATGATAAACTATGAAGTGATAATTATGATTTATTAACTTGTTAAAAGTTTAAGCATACATCAAAATCAACTCTATTTATAGCCTTTCTTATAAAAGGCTATCAATAATTTTCTCAACCGCTCGAACCAAATTAAAATTTGGTTTTTTCATGAATTTTCGATTAACAAAGAAAAAATATATTTCCTCCCTACTTGTAAGTTCAATCCTTACACAATTGTCCTTGCAATAAACATTTTCAAATAATTTAATTAAAGGATGTATAAACCATATGGCATTCAAAGTATTATGACTATCTGAAGGTACTCCTTTCTAATAGTACTCAATTCAAATCATATGTTAGTTCCATCGATATGATAGCAAAAAACTCTATTACAATCTATGTTATAAATTTTGATAGCTCCAGGTTAAGTTGTAAATATATTGTGTTTATATTTTTGATAGGGAGTTCTTAGAATGAAGAATTAATTTTCTCTGAGTCTGGTTTTTCTTCTTGATTTTTCTGACCCTACATAGGACTTTGAATTATTAGCCTATCTAGAAGGAATATATTATGAATCAGTGTATGAAATTTGGATAATGAATGCTGAATCAAATTTGTTAATATATTGTCTCATATTCGTCTTTCTTCTCCACTTTCTTACCAGCGTACTCTCAATTAAAAGAGTAACAGCTTTATTTAAATGTTCTAAAGTATTTTTTTGTGATTCTAAAATATCACCAAAGCTTGAGCTATTTTACAGGAGTTCACAAGTTTTAAAAAATGGCAAAACCTGTCTGAGTGTATCCTTCTTGAGCTTTTAAGGGTACCAGATGATAATCCTAACCTTTAAAGAGTTGAAATAAAGTAACCTAATCAAAGGAACATACATGCCATCACACTATACAATATTAGAGATGTTTGAATCCAAGAAAGATCTATTAAAGGCTTTAAATTACAGACCAAATATTGAACATTAAACTAGAAAATATTTGTTTTATTGACAAAAATATTCTGGTCTTGCATATAAATAGGAATTATTAGTACTTATTTTACTTTCTGTTGGTATTTAGAGATTCGAAATGACTTTCTTCTCCTATTCTTTCTTTTAATCTAAAATATTTAATAAGCTAAAATTGATAATAGTTATCAAAAAATGCTTTATGAGAATTTAAACAGATATCTAATATTTTTTCTTAAGTAAAAAGGTATTGATTCAACTTTAGTTATTAGTTTTATTTCAAGCAACTGTAAAATATCGTATATCTGATATTTTCAATCTTTAGTACTTCAATTTTTCACTTTTTGAAGTATTTGTGTTTTTTTCAATAATTTAAAACTAATTAATGTCTATTTATCAAAATTTTTTTATACTAATCACCGCATCAAGAGTTTATATTCTTGAAATTTTTAACAAATTCTTTAGTAAAATTATTTCTTCATTATTAATTTAAAAGAATTTGGTTAGTAATTTTGCCAAATTTTAATTTTAGATAGCTTCTCTATTTTAATAATTATTAATGAAATTTGAATTTAATTTACTGATTTTCACAGTATTTATTATTTTCAAAATAATATGAAATTTCTCAAATAGAACTTTTATGTCTTATGAACCAAAAAATTGTCATATTGTATACATAATCATTTAATTAAAAAAAATATAGAATGTAATTCAGAAAATAATTATCTAGCATAGAAAATACAAAAGATATATATAACATTAATTTAAAATTACAATAGTCAGAGATCTTTTGATTGATTGAATTTGTAAATTGCAGTGTATTATGGTTTTGGTCCAAATGATTTTAGATTATGGACCTTATGCAAAATGAAAGTTAAATCCTTTTGAAATACTCAAAGAAAAAAGGCTCACTCATTTCTGATTATCTATACATTAATTATTGCTCAACTTGGTGCCTTGGTTTTTATTTCTAATATATAAACAACAATTTATTCACCCATTAATATTTGCAATCAGATCAAATGAAAGCTTTTTTGATTAATCGATTTAAATTTTAATAAGGATAAGTTATGTGTATATTAATTCTTATATGTCTTATTGTCTGAATATAGTAGTCTTAAAAATACCATGCTCAAAAATTGAATTGCATTTATTGATATTTTTCTCTTATATCTGAATTAAGTTTCATAATATAAATTTCTCTAGTTAAATTAATTGAAATGTTGACCCTATAAAAGCATATTATCTCTAAATATTCAGCTAGTCCTTTTCTTGAAATATGGGTCTAAGTAAAATATTGACAATTATTAAATATTTAAGATTAGTAGGAATACAATGTCTCATAAATATTGGTTGATTATAACTCTAAATTTTTGAAACTTATGAATTTTTTTGTATATTTATTCTTTTTATCATATACATTTTGGAGACTGTTAATCTAAATTACGTATTTTAAGTCTACAGTGTGTAAGTTAATTAAGTAATTTATTACGATCAAAAAAACTTTGTATAATTTTAAATATCAATTTTAATAGAAATAGGAAATGTAAATTAGATGTACTTAAGCAGATCATCGAAATCAATAAATAATCGGTTTTTGTATAGATAGTACATGCCCAAATTAAAGACCGTATTGTAATTTTTGTTTGCCTCGCCATAGCGAACATCTTGAAATGTTAACATCCATAGAACTTTTGTTTGAATGGATTTAGAAAGGAATCCTTAGGATAAAAAACGTTGAAAAGAATTTTTAAGAGTTTAAAGTCGCCCTTGATTGTCTTAATAATTTGTTCCTTCCTTATCTTAACTTTAATATTTAACAATTCCCATAATTAGGAGTATCGCAGATTGACAAATTAATCAAAGATTTATGTAAAATGGAAGATTGTGAAAAAAATTTATTAGAATAACTTAAATAATCAATTGAATAAGGAAAACTAATTGTAAACGAAATACTTAAAAAAATAAAAAATTAATCTTCTTTGGAGTAAAATGATCGTATATTAAAACCAAACCTAAAACCATTTACATAGGAATTAATTAAAAATAAAACTATTAAGGAAGATGATGATTGTTATGCAATTACTTTTAATAAAGATTGTTAAATTGTAGCACTTGGTTGTGATTAACTAATAAAAATATATGAATTTAAGTAAGGAATGTTGAAATTACTACAAGTCTTAAATGAACATACAGATTCGATATACACTCTATATTTGATGAAAAAATCAAATGAATTGATATCTGGAGAT